AATAATTCCTCTCCAACTCCTACCTCTCTTTGTCAGAGGAAGAGGATTCCACATCTCCACGAAGCTGAGAATGGGCTCTAGTCAAGGGCAGTGAATCAAGGGATTTCGATTTGATTGTTAAAGGCCCAAAGCCAAGAATAGGCTCCAGTCAAAGATAACCAGCCTCTCATAGGATAGCAATTTCCTCTAAAACCCACCCACGGAGGTCGAATTTGTAACCCAACTTGCAAAGCAAGACCCTTCATTTTGCAACATTATTTGAGGCGTAGCAAAATTCACAGATGGACAACCTTTCAACCATCCTATCTGGAGATCTATTACTTGAAATGAGAGGATTGTCACGGAAATCTTATTTCTCATTCTCAGACAAAACAAGTGGCATGTCCGGAATCCAAATTGATGTGGTGGGACTAGTTAAGGATTATTGAGAAAACACTATTCTAGCTTCTGAGTTAGCCATTTTGGTCTTAAGTATATCTAACATAGAGTTAATATAATGCTATAGATGCTTGATAGGGTCTTGAGGTCGAATTTGTATTTTCTATTGAGAGTAAAAGAGTAAATCTATAAATACTTGTAAAGTTGTCATTTTATATTTATAAGAAAATAATACATATCAATCTGGATTTCCAACTCTATTAAATATAAAAAAATAAAAAAATTAATTGTATAATCACATGTCAATACTACAAAACATTGTAAATGTATCACTTTCATTTGTTATAGAACTTTGACTTTTGATGTAATTAATGAGAGGCTCGATTATAATAATGGTCCTCAGTATCTCCATGAACTTGGTTTCTCCCAATTCTTTGTTGAATGATTCATGCTCTAAGATATATTGGTGTGGCCCCATAAAATATTGTAACAAATGGTATAACGAATCGAATTTGCATCTACTACAAAAAAAAAACTAAATTACATACCTGCAGTTCTCCTAGCTTCTTCTGTACAGTACTCAAGTTACATCAAATGGTAAACAGTCTCACCGCCTGCATTACGTGGTCAGTTAATTTTTTGGAAAATGTCATGCTAAATGCTCACAGAGATTGCACTTGGCAAATGGCTGCTAAATTTCCTAAATTTGATGCTAAGTCAACATGTTCTTGTGTAATTCCCGGGTTAATGCTATCTTCAACTTCATGGTTCCAACTAAAGAATCGAAACTGACTGCTGCTCTCTTCAGCTTCTTCGTCTATAGAACTCGATTTGCTCCCAATTGATTCATCTGAACTGTCATTTGAAATGAGCTTTATACGGTCTGCACGCTCGATGACCCAGTCAGTGAATTGTGGAGTTGCTGCCAGTTCTGCCAT